ATTTGACGAGGCTCGGGCAGGTCGAAGTTACAGCGAAAAAGTCGCAGTCGACGGTGCTGCCACCTACATTGCCAATAACGGGCACTATCATATCGTGATAATTGGGGTAGTTTCAAATGAGAAATGACTTCTATTTTTGTTCAAACTGCTTAAGAAGAAATAAAACAATTCGGAAACATATATTTTTCCCAAATATCGCGTTCCATTTTTTCCTGTTGAGTTGTTAGGAAAGTAGTAAATTTCAAGGTTGACGGCTAAAAAACGAAACAGGAGGAACAGAGCAGGAATCACCAAGACGTGTGCCGCGCCGTTGCTGTAGCCTGTAGATAAGGGGTGAGCAACAGAACCAGCATGCCTAACGATTTTAATAAGTGAAGGACTTTTTCCCTAAATGAAAGAGTAAAGACTATTAGCTTAGGCAAGCCTTCTAATATAGGTATCGACAGGGTTGCGGTAAAAGGTACAATCGATGGCACATTACAATTATTCTGAGTTGGGAAACAACACTCTTCAGATACCTACCATCAACAACCTCACTATCTCCTATATGGGAGCTATATCATCTGATTCCAGCGCCCTGAAAGCAAACAGGTTATCACCAAAAATCTCTGTATTAGCGCCTACCGACATATGCTGAATGACGCTATCAATACCCGACATTTGTAAAAGGTGATTCGCCACACAGCCCGCCGGCGTCTGAGGGGTTGAATCAGTGAGCCAGATTGCCAGCGACTCGCCGCTGAACTACCGGGCGTAACAAAACGGACGATGCGACATGACTCAGAGATCATCACAGACGCGACGGTAAGCCGCCAACAGCTCCTCTGATGTATGCTTTAAAAATGTTAGCCAAAATTTAAGAATGTTATCTAGTGCTAATATTTGGGTTTTCGGTTTTTCTAATCCCTCTATTTCGCGTATTGCTTGGAAAAAAGCTAGAGGGTTTCTTTTCACCGATGTCAAGCATAGGCGGCGGAACGGGGGTGGCACCGGGGCACCGTGCCCCGCTTTGATTTTGGCATTTTAACATTAGCCCTATGGGCGTTGCATGGGAAGAATGGGACCAAAAGTCGGCAGTGCCCCCCCCCCCTTAATTGAAGGTGTTCCGCCGCTAATGATGTCAAGTGATTTTAGTTCAAAAGATTGGTGGTGCTGCTATTGGCAACATTAATGGCGCAATATAACCGTTCTTTAGTCACCGTGTGAATAATATTGACACAGTCAATGACCACCGACTCTCACTGAATGTGTCTTCCTGTTCCGCAGGAAGCTGAGCTGTGACTGACTGGCCATTGCGTGTCATCAGTTCGGCCAGTGGCGGCGGGATACCTTCAATTAAGGGGGGGGGGGGCACTGCCGAATTTTGGTCCCATTCTTTCCATGCAACGCCCATAGGGCTAATGCTAAAATGCCAAAATCAAAGGGGGCACGGTGCCGCGGTGCCCTCCCCGTTCCGCCGCCTATGAGTTCGGCTTGACAAGGGAACCGCGAGGTGGCAGATAGCGATATTACGTATCTGAACGAGGGTTCCGCACGAGCTCAGATGCCTTTCGGTTACATTTGTCGTCGCGTCTGTGATGATCTCTGAGTCATGTCGCATCGTCCGTTTTGTTATGCCCGGTAGTTCAGCGGTGAGTCGCTGGCAATCTGGCTCACTGATTCAACCCCTCAGACGCCGGCGGGCTGTGTGGCGAATCACCTTTTACAAATGTCGGGTATTGATAGCGTCATTCAGCATATGTCGGTACTCGGTAGGCGCTAATACAGAGATTTTTGGTGATAACCTGTTTGTTTTCAGGGCGCTGGAATCAGATGATATAGCTCCCATATAGGAGATAGTGAGGTTGTTGATGGTAGGCATCTGAAGAGTGTTGTTACCCAACTCAGAATAATCGTAATGTGCCATCGATTGTACCTTTTACCGCAACCCTGTCGATACCTATATTAGAAGGCTTGCCTGAGTTACTAATAGTCTTTCATTTAGAGACAAATATTTATCACTAATCAAAATCGTTAGGTATGCTGGTTCTGTTGCTCACCCCTTATCTACAGCATCGGCGCGGCACACGTCTTGGTGATTCCTGCTCTGTTCCTCCTGTTTCGTTTTTTAGCCGTCAACCTTGAAATTTACCACTTTCCTAACAACTGAACAGGAAGAAATGGAACGCGATATTTGGGGAAAATGTATGTTTTCGAATTGTTTTATTTCTTCTTAAGGACTGTCCCACCTTAACATTAGAATTGAGTTGAGATAGCCATCTTGATGGGCGTTCTTTGAAAATCAGAGCCGTGAAAACCGTTTCTCCAGCAATTACTTCATCGCAAAGAAATTTGTGTTTGATTTTGACATCTGTCACGTGTCCTAATAGCCGTGAAACCGTAAAACACAGAGAACCAGTAGCGAGCAGCGCGCCGGTCAGCCGCTAACTGCTTGTTTATTGTATCAAGGTCAGTCGGACGAATGACGTCACACACTGCTAGGATCGGCCGCATGACGTCACACACTGCAAGGCACGCGCAATACATTTGCACAACGTCACATCTCCCTTTCTCGACAAAAAACGAGCTAATATGAAACCCTTCACACAAGTAACATTCCTGATGCATTTAAACACACAAAGCACATCCGACAAATAACGATGAGAAATGGGACACCAAGAAAACAAAACGGATGCACGCTGACAAACGACAAAACAAATCGACGGATAATCCGTCCCGTTTACGGCACATAATCCTGCAGATAGCGTGGAGGTTGCGAGATGCGACCAGAGCGGCGCACAGGCGGCGGAGAGAGTGGCGATGAGGCAGAGACATTTCCCCTGCCGTGAACACTCGGCGACGCGTCCCCACCTCCTACGGTGTCCGAGGTGGACAGCGGCGTACGGGGAGACTCTGGCCGCGAGAACGAATGGTCCCGAGAGAGACGGGAAGGCGGTAGGTGGTACTGGTCATGAGGCCTCTCTGGTGGGTCATGGGCAACGCTCGGATCCTCGTTAGTAGCGAGCAAATGGCGGCGGTTACGCCGATACACATAGTTGTCAACTCTGACCAGATAGGATCGGTCTCCCGCTGATCGCAAACAGATACCGGGTGACCACGTGGACTGACCCGGCAATTGCATGCGGACGGTCTCGCCTTCGATGAGAGCCCGGAGGGGTCGGGTGCCGCGATTGAAATACGTCGCCTGGGTTTGTTGCGCTTTTATCCGGGCCTCACGGACGGGAACTGGGGGTGCTGAGGCCAAAGTTGATCGAGCAGTCGGAAGAAAAGTACGGCACGGGCGACTGAACATAAGCTGAGCGGGAGAAACTCCGGTGATTTCATTCGGTGCGTTCCGCCACATCAGTAGCGCCCAGAGTGGATCCTCCCCGGCAGCCAGAGCTTTACGCCAGAGGTTTTTGATCGTGCGAACTGCATTTTCAGCTTTGCCATTAGCCTGAGGGTACTTGGGACTGGAGGTGCGGTGTTCTATGTCTAACTGGCGCATAAAATCCGCAAACTCAGCACTCGAATACTGTGGTCCGTTATCGCTGACTAGAACCTCTGGAAATCCAAAACGAGCAAAATGCACAGACAGGGCACGAATTACTTGAGCCGACGAAAGGCAGGGCAAACGATCAACTTCCACGTAGTTACTGTAGTAATCCACTAGCACGGAGTATGCCTGGCCATCCAGTTCAAACAGATCCGTCGCAAGTACCTGCCAGGGACGACTGGGCACGTCATGTGACTGTAACGGCTCCCGAGGAGGCGAGGGTCGGTGCGCGAGACAGACAGGACACTTGAGGATAATCTCGCGTAGCTGGGCCTGCATCCCTATCCAGAACACGCTTTCACGCGCCAGCCGTATGATAGAAGCCAGTCCGATGTGACTGCGGTGAAGCTGAGACAGTACCTCTCGTTGTTGACTGGCTGGGACTACTAGACACCGATACTTGAAAATTAGACCTCCCTGAACCGTAAGTTCGTCGCGAAATGGGTAAAAACACCTGACAATCTCAGGAACCGCGTCACGGCGGTCAGGCCAGCCGCGCTGAATCTGAGCCATAAGGGCAGACAGTATCGGATCGGACGCTGTCGCTGCACGGATAAGCGCCAGCCGGCTCGGAGACACTGAAACTCCCTGACTTAAATCTACCGTCTCCAGCTGGAGAGCAAAAACGTCCGGGGTCAGCGGCAGAGACGCCCGACTGAGGGTGTCAGCGACACACAGCTGGCTGCCGGGCTGGTAGGTGATCGTGTAGTCGTAGCGCTGAAGGGTCATTAGCATCCGCTGAAGGCGGAGCGGCGCGTCACCTAGCGGCTTCGATTGAATGGCCACCAGTGGTTTGTGATCAGTGACCACAGTGACGGGGCGCGCGTACAAAAACTGGTCAAGACGAGTGAGTGCAAATGTGATGGCGAGCAGTTCTTTCTCGATTTGCGAATACGCCTTTTCAGCCGTTGTGAGCGCGCGTGAACAGTAAATTACAGGCTTCCCTTCTTGCAATAGACACGCTCCGAGACCAGACATAGAAGCATCGCACTGTACCGTCGCTTCCCGTCGGGGGTCGTAAAAACTCAGCACCGGAGCCGAGGTAAGCAGACATATAACGCGATCGAACGCCCTCTGACACGACTCGCTCCAATACCACTCAACTGAACGCTGAGTCAGCTGCCGGAGTGGGGCCAGCACAGATGACATGTTCGGCAGGAATCGAGACAGGTACCCGACCATGCCCAAAAAACGTTTTAGCTCGGGCACCGAGGTCGGCACCGGGAAGTCTGTTATAGCCCTAACACGGGCCGGGTCGCACTTCAGGCCCTCCTTACTCAAGATGTGTCCCATCCATTTGACGGATCCGACTTTAAATCGGAACTTATCTGGGTTCAGACGCAAGTTCCGCTCCGCGGCCCGTCGGAGGAACCCTCTGAGATTGGCGTCGTGGTCCTGCTCAGTCGTACCGAAGATGATGAAGTCGTCGGCGATCACGTCAACCCCTGGCAAGCCCGCGACGAGCTCGTGCATTGTGCGCTGCCAGACTTCCGGGGCTGATTTAATGCCATAAGGCAGGACCTCCCACCTGTACCTGCCGAAGGGTGTGTGGAATGTACATAGCCTGGCCGCCTCATCCGTCAGCCCGATCTGCCAGAAAGCCTGACTGGCATCGACAACTGAGAAAATTTTGGCCTCACTGAGCCGGGTTGTGACCTCATCCAGAGTAGGGGTAGGGTAATGCTCGCGCTGAATAGCCTTATTGAGGGACTTGGGATCTAGACAGAGGCGGAGATCTCCGTTTGGTTTGTCTACGATTACCAGGTTAGATACCCATGGTGTGGGCTCGGTCACAGGAGATATCAGTCCTTGGGCGACGAGGTCATCCAACTTAGATTTCAGTTGGTCCCGGACATGGACACGAACACGGCGCGGGGCCTCCGCGACGGGACTGATCTGGGGGTCTGTGACAATGTTGTACTCAGTGACGACTCGACCCGGCTTAGACACATCAAATACCTGCTCAAACTCGGACATGACCCCAGCCCGAGTCAGACCCTCGGTCGAGCCCATGTCAGCAGACACTCGGGGAACGTAATCGAGCGGGTCGACATCTTTGACATCTATCAGACCCAAATCGACAGACGATAGCAGGCTAATGATGGGCAGCGCGTCATGACCAATCACTCTACAGTTGAGCGTGACCTTCTGGCCCGATGAGGGGTTCACAAGACACAGGTTGGCCTTACCTAGTGTGCTCACAAGTGTGCCATCATACATACGGAGAGCAGAGACACTAGACCGCAAAAACTGGTGCGATACATCACCTGTGACACGCTCATAGTCACTGAGCGACACGATGTTACACTCGGAGCCAGAGTCGACCAGGAACCGCAGGGGCTCGCCCGACGGCGATGTAAGCGTTTTAAATACACGAGGAGATACCTGGATATCTGAATCTGGCGCCTGCACTACATTCACAGCATATAATGGGGCCCCCCTTTCTGTGCCCACCTGTTCCGCATCCTGGTCTGCTTGTTCAATTGCTGCGACACCGTCCCGGTCCCGTCGTCCACCTCCAGCACGGGTCGCAGAGCGCAGTCCCCGGTCGCCGGCCACCGGGACCGGTGGCGCCACAGAGCGAGGCGGCAGGCGGCTGTCGTTACGCCGCTGGCCGGTAGAGGCGCCACCACTCCGTGTTGTGACGCCCGAGAAGCCGCCATCTTGGCCTCTGGGCGACAGGGGGCGAGCGCCGGCGGGCCGGCCGCAGCACGCCGAAAAATGGTTTCGGCCACCGCAGGCGTGGCATGACTGTCCCCACGCTGGGCACGAGGACCGTTGCATCACGTGAACTCGGGCACAGAACCGACACCGACTCACAGCTGGGGCCGGGGAGGGCTGAGAAATCGCGCTCACCTCACTGGGATTCAGCACATCACCAGTAGCACTCCCGGCACTCCCCATGCACTGCTGGTCACGCCGTGAGGCCTCCTCAGACAGGGCGATGTCCACTGCGGCCGTTAACGTGAGATCGGCCTGTCGGAGTAGGGCACGTTGGGTGGCGCGATCGGCGACACCGATCACCAGCCGATCACGGATCATATTGTCCGGGTCCGGGAACTCACACGTCACGACCAAAGAGCGCAGAGCGGCGAGGAAGGTCGTGATGCTCTCGCCCGGCTGCTGGACACGGGCATGAAAGTTATAGCGCTCCAACACCACGTTGCGGCGCGGATTGCAATATGCCTCAAACTTTTCCAACAGTGGCGGCAAGCCATCAGAGTCCTGCCACTGAAAATGAGAGGCCACTTCTTGGGCGCCGATGCCTGCATAGTTCAAAAAAGTTCCCACTTGTACCAAGACAGGTTTCTCAGCCAGCTCCTTAGCCGCAGCGTAGTACTTCCAATCTCTGCTGAATCGCGCCCATTCGGCCGCCATGTTGACGGCCGAAAAATTCAGCTCTGTCGGAGCGCGCAAATTCATCTTGAATAATCGCAAAAATAATCGAACGAACGAATCGAACGAACAGGAAGACCAATCAGGGCGATAATTCGGCCACTTCTGACACCATGTCACGTGTCCTAATAGCCGTGAAACCGTAAAACACAGAGAACCAGTAGCGAGCAGCGCGCCGGTCAGCCGCTAACTGCTTGTTTATTGTATCAAGGTCAGTCGGACGAATGACGTCACACACTGCTAGGATCGGCCGCATGACGTCACACACTGCAAGGCACGCGCAATACATTTGCACAACGTCACAACATCTGTGCAAATAAGTGCCACAATGTATTGGTATTGGCACTTAAAACCTGTGACGTTTCCGCCTTTTCCGAAGTTTCTGTATCTGTCGACTTGTTTTTATCGAAACCTTGAAAAATAACAACGCATCTTGGAACGGGTGTGTATCAAATGTACCCAAGTACAGTCGGACCCAAGATCCAACGGGACCCAAGATTCATAAGTACCCAGGTGCCTCAGGCTATACGGAAGTACCATAGCGACGTTGGGTCCCAAGGTTCAAGGTTGCCAGAATATGATTGGCTGAGCAGGCAGACCAATCGAACGAGCTGTTAGAAACTACTGTACCTCAGTGCACTCTCTGACAGTGGGCAAGTGCGGTGAAGATTTCGCATACCAAAGTGACCCTTCCGGAGGACCGGCGGCCGGCGCCCACAGTCAGGTAACAATGGGAAGGGTCGGAGGGACGGCCCGCCGCGCCGCACGGTGACAGCTGATTCCCGGGACACTCAAGTGTCGCCTGTCAGACGCGTCGCCTGCCTCCCCCCTCCCGCCCCGCCGAGCCGCACAAAACAGCCAGGCCCTGTCGCGGAACGAACCACCCGACCATGCTGTCGTCATCGGCGGCGAACTGAACTGCATGGCTTTCTGAGTCGTGGCGCTGAGCAAGCCTGAATAACCGGTCATGCTTGCGTATTTCATGCTTCAGCCCTGCTGTGAGCCATGTTTTATGATTGCGGATCTTAGCAATTTCTTAGGTAGAGGTGACTGGTGAACCGTGCAAAACGCCCCCTTAAGAAAGTGTGTCACCGCTAGGCTAGTTATTGGACCATATGCTTATAGGCGTCATCTTTAGACTATTGAACAGAATAATATGTACCTAAAGCACTGGAATGCTACATTCCAGCATGTATGAGTTTTTGCAAGACCTTTGAAAACGGGGCGTTTTACATTACGGGTATGGTAAAACGCCCCAACTTTGGTTGTCACCTGGTTATGAGTATGAGTTATAGAGTTCCGTTTGTATAGACAATGCATTTAATATTCCAGTTTCGGCGGTACTACTCTATTATTTAGGTAAGCAGAAACGTATTAACGTCAGTAACATGCTTTCGGAGAATATGATTGGATGGAGAACCGTTAAAAAAAAAAAACAATACAGCATTTGCAAGCAAAGCTACCTAGCTCAATAAATTCACCCATTGCAAAAAATCACTTTTCAATGTTTTCGTTATCTACTTACCCCAATCAGCAACAATGCATCACAATATAGCCGTTTCTGGATTGTGGCATTTAAAGGGACCCTCCCACCTTAACATTAGATTTGAGTTGAGATAGCCAAAATGGGGTCCCTGGCTCACAATTACCGGTTTCGGCACTCACAACATCGAGAAATGCCTTAACTCGGAAATATTGAATTTCAAAATTGCAGCATTTTGATTCAGAGGGGCTAATGTTTAGGAATACCCCTCTGAATGTGTGACGTCAGCGCAGATATCTAACGCTTTTTAAATGTTTGACTTAAACGTTTTGTAGCACGCGGTAGTATATGCTATTTGCGCGCAACATCTGCCGCAAACGCCGCACTTCTAAACTAAAGTCGCTAGAAACAGCGGAGATCCCAAAAAAGTAAACAAAAGTAAAAGTCTAATATCTTGAAAACCGGTAAATATTTTTCGGTGAAATTTGGTAGATATTCGTTTTCGCTCTTTCTGAACCGAGCGACATCATTTTCATGCCAATTCATAAACTTTTTTGAAGGTGGGAGGGTCCCTTTAAAGGTAGTGTGCCAGCTTTCTTGGACCGTATGGAGTTAATGGCCCAGATAAGGAGAACCGGATTTTTAGAACTTATCCATACCTTCAAAACTCATGGAAACGTCTTAAATTCTTCAAATTTTGAGTACCCCAGTGCGAACTTCGCCCCGACGGGTTGTCGGTCGTACCCCAACCACATTTCACACCACTATGAACAATAAATGCACACACTGAAATCGCTATTACCGATATGCTCATCCAATCAAGTTTCGATAAACCCGTTCATCATCATCTCCTGCGGTTTCGAACACGCCTGTTAGGTGGCTTCTGATGCTCGTCGAGGTCGGAATTTCCAAATACGCGTGGTGCGTCGGGCCGCGCGCTCTGACTTCGGCCAAGAAAAATGCGTCAGCTGATCATTGTCATTTCTGCCACTTGCGTGTGGTGAAATGGGGTCATAACTTATAAGACGGCTTTTTCATATCAATTATTTTACATAAAATCATATTTCAAACCATAAATAATGTTCGACAGCCAAATAAAAGAAACAATACAATACGGGCTTACAGTTTAAGGCTCGACATTGTGTTGTCTACGATTAGACAGCTGATAACTCATTCCCGTACGTCGTATGGTCGTAACACTATAATGACCTTTGCTTATTGTCACAAGTGCGCCACATTCGCGATTGTTGCCCGACGCCTGTTTGCAGGTGAGCCCACTACAGTTGTTATACATATCTAAAAACCGAAAAACTTTTAGGCGAAAAAGGCACTATTCCAGGCCCATTTTTGATTTTTTTTTGCGATATTAGGTAAAAACAGAAGCTTCTTATCCTAGGAAAAATAAAATGGGAAATCTTTCAAAGGTGGCACACTACCTTTAAGCAAATAAAATGATCAAGGCTGAAACAGACTTTCCGCAGTCAGGAAATCGCATGCGAGAGCCTATTCAAATACATTACAGTCCTTCCCGCATCAAACGCATGCGGGAGGTGCGTACGATTGATGCGAGCGTTTGAATAGCGTTATTTGAATAGGCTCTCGCATGCGATTTTCTGACGGCGGAAAAAGTCTGTTTCAGCCTTATTAAAAACCATGCCGGTGCGTTTTGTGAATTTTACAATGCTTGTTTGTAGCGGTAGGTATATCTTATATCTGTCATTTATCCCGCACCGTATAGTCAGTGTTTACAATTGCTTCACGTGTTAAGAGAGAAAATTATCAGATGTTGAGTAATTGATTTGTTTAACAGGTTTTAGACGTTTAACAGTTGTTAAACGTCTACTTTGACGATTAACAAACTGTTAAACGTCTAGTAGACATTACATGAAATACGTTGGCGGCACGGGATAAAATTATTAAACCGCTCGTAGGTAGAAAAATCTTTTAAACGTCTCGCCTATCCAGTGGCGGTCGCAGGGGGGGGGGCCATCAGGGCCATGCCCCCCCAAAGGCAAATCAGGGGGGCCATCATATTATTTGCCCCCCAAACAACCGATGGCCTGGGCCCCCATAGGCGTATGGGGCCCTGGCCCGTATTCGATTGTCGCGAGGCTCGAGAAACCCACGCTAGCTATTAACAGCTCCCATACCGGTCTTTGAGGATCCTACACTGACCTCTGAGGGCCCTTCAGTGGCGGTCAAGCGCCCACCTTGACCACTGAGGGCCCTCTACTGGCTTTTAAGGGCCCCTAAACCGGCCTCAGGGTCCCAACCGGCGGCTGAGGGCCTCACACCGGCCTCTGGTGGCCTCATTTATGTCTCTCAAACCATGCATCATTGAAACTATTTAATTATCCTCCAGACATGCGGATTCTTTTGATTATCGGAGGAATTGAATCGAACCCTGGGCCAATAAATAACAAGAAATTATCGAATAATATTACGATAGCCCATGTAAATATAAACAGTATAACGGCCACTGGCAAAGTCCAAGAGCTAACAAATTTTGTCGACGTTAATAAAATCACAATTCTCGCACTCACTGAAACTAAATTGGACGACTCAATTAAAGCGACTATCCCACCTTTAACATGGGGTTTGAGTTGAGATAGCCAAGTTTGCGGCGAGGTTCAGAAACCACTATCTATCTAGGTTGCAACCCCCGCGGCCTCTTGGTGTTGAAGAAATTCGTTCCCTTCATTTGAAAATGGGCCTTGTACAAGGCCCTATCTTCAACATGGAGCGACCGTTAGTGTGACGTCACCTCGTTTAGTCATTCTGATTTAAATGGGTTTGTTCGTTGAAAAATCGCTTAAAACTTGGTCTGAACTTTGTTGTGGTGCCTACAGAGTAAAAAGAATCAGCTTTATGACAGTAATGTGGCCTGGGGAAGGAGGTAATTTTGGGCTGTGACGTCACATATTTGAAAGTTTGTGTTTGGAATATGGGAAGCCTAAGATGTTTAATGAAAAATAAATGCCAGAGCCGTGTTCCTGGTCATCCAATCTATAAAGTCGGGCACAATTTAACTGGTTTTAACAACATTTTAGAAGGTGGGATAGTCCCTTTAAAGGAACTATCCCACCTTCTAAAATGTTGTTAAAACCAGTTAAATTGTGCCCGACTTTATAGATTGGATGACCAGGAACACGGTTCTGGCATTTATTTTTCATTAAACATCTTAGGCTTCCCATATTCCAAACACAAACTTTCAAATATGTAACGTCACAGCCCAAAATTACCTCCTTCCCCAGGCCACATTACTGTCATAAAGCTGATTCTTTTTACTCTGTAGGCACCACAACAAAGTTCAGACCAAGTTTTAAGCGATTTTTCAACGAACAAACCCATTTAAATCAGAATGACTAAACGAGGTGACGTCACACTAACGGTCGCTCCATGTGGAAGATAGGGCCTTGCGCAAGGCCCATTTTCAAATGAAGGGAACGAATTTCTTCAACACCAAGAGGCCACGGGGGTTGCAACCTAGATAGATAGTGGTTTCTGAACCTCGCAGCGTGGGCAAAATGGAAAACCCAACGCAACTTCGTGACAAATTTGAATAGACAACTTAACGACGAACTTGTAAAAAATAAAGTATCACTTCTACTTCAGAACAAACACCACCCTCAC